CATGCATTTAAGCATATTAAAATTTATAACTTTTTTATTATAGAAGGCATGTAGATATACTTTAAAGAAGGGGATATGCTAAAATTATTTATTCCTGTTTTACCACAATATTTTGATGTATTTGTAATCCGGCTTTTTTTTTTTTTTTTTTTTTGATCCAAGAATATAGTTATGCTTAAACCTCAATAAAACTTTAAAAAACTGTTTGGGTCATGCTAGATGTGCTATTTTTGCATTCTTATAACCATTACTTTTAGTGGTTATGTGTTATCACGTTGTTCAATAAATGTTTCATAGTTTACTAAAATTTCCCCTTTTTGTTGAACATTTAAATTATTTCCAATTTTTACTATTATGCCACAACATGTAGCTCTTTTTATGGATTTATGATTATATTCTTAGGAAAGATTAACAGAATTGGTATTATTGGGCCAAATTATAGAAACATTTAAAAGTCTATTGATTTGTATTGACAGATTGATTCCCTAAAGTATTATATACTAATTTCCATTTCCACCAAAATAACTTTAGCTTTTGTTTTTGGTATATACTGCTAGTAGCATTAGTATTTTTATTTAAAATGATCATACTAGCTTAGTAGGGGGAAAAAAGCCTTATTTGTATTTATTTATTTATTTTTTGTGGTGCTGGGGATTGAACCCAGGGCCTTATGCATGAGAGGAAGGAACTCTACCAACTGAGCTATATCCCTAGCCCTAAAAAAAACCTTACATTTTTATTTGCCTTGTTGATTTTCATGGGACTCTTGCTAGTATTTATTATTTTGTGAAGTGACTGCTCCTGTTCTTTATTTATTCATCTATTTAAACCTGGTTATATAATAAAATTATCAACCTCTTTTCCATTATAATTTCTACAAATACTTTTTAGCCACTTGACTTGTTATTTGTGTTAGTTTTGTGTTTTAATGCATAAATTTTCAAATTCTGTGTAGTAAAAATGTATTAGTCTTTTTCTCTGGCTATATTTTTGAATACTTCAAAGATTAGAAACTTTTCTTCCTCTCACCCCCAGATTTTATAATTATATTCTATTCTAACCAATACATTGAATAATCACATTCCCTTTATTTTTGTTTGTCTGACCCTTAAGTAAGGAGAGATAAGGTGATGGAATCCTTATTTTTGCTATTCAATTTGGAGATTCTCATTAGTTAAGCAACACCTCTCTAAAGAAATATTTTTACACATTTACCCCCTACACATTCTGACATTTTTAATATGTCTTTGATTTGACTGAAGGATCCAAGAGTAATGAATATTATTTTTGTACATGTCTTTGAAATTTGTCATAGGGAAATCTTGCATTCACTTTGATATCTCTAGTGCTTCAACTGGAGACCAAAAATTGCTATTTTAAATATTGCATTTTTTCTAAGCATTTTAATGTATAATTCATCTAAAATCTCTGTTCTTTGTGTAATATAAAGATGATAATAGGGTGTTTCCCATATCACTACCCCATTTATGCACCCTTAAGTGTAGAATAATTCACTTCATTCTTATTGTTTTACAGTGTATATTAAAATATTATGCATATTAGGATGCCTCTGATAAATAGGCATATAATATCAAATTACATGTAAAACATCTTTATATCCTTTCTTATAGAAGCATAGAAGATTTTAGGGTTATTGAGATATGTTATTTTTGCCTGAAGTTTAAAATTCATTTAGAAAACCCAGTGTGACAGGGCACATATGTAATTTAAATATCTTTTAATAAGCAGAGTCAGACTTGTTATACAAATTTATGTCTAAATTCTTAATGATTATATATCTTTTCCCCTTTTTAACATGTGCATGACACAATGAAACTAATCCATCATGGTAGTATTAGGGACACTGACTCTATACATAATCACATAATTTTTTTTAAACATTACACAATTTTTTATTATTATTTTTTAATATTTATTTTTTAGTTTCAGGTGGACACAGTATCTTTATTTTATTTTTATGTGGTGCTGAGAATCGAACCCAGTGCCTCACGCGTGCTAGGCGAGCGTGCTACCACATCCCCAGCCCCACAATTTTTTATTATTAAATGAGAAAATCTCATTTGTTACATCGTCACATTGCTAGTCAAAGAAATGCTGCAGTGATGAAGAAAATCAATTTTGGATCAACCAAAGTCCTCATTTGTACTACATTCATTTACAAAGAAATAATGTTCAACACAGCCCAACAAAACATTCTTGGTTTTCTTCATATTGAAGGTCCCCCAAATACATAATTTATTTTATTTTATTTTTTTAAATGTTGATGGACCTTTACTTTATTCATTTATTTATATGTGGTGCTAAGAATCGAACCTGCCTTACACATGCTAGGCAAGTGCTCTACCACTGAGCCACAATCCCAGCCTACAAAATCACATTATTTGATTTGCAAAGGGAAATTCTGGAACATATTCCAGTTGTGAACCTCATATAATCTGGTAAAATGTGTCTTTGTTTGAAAATATTGAACAAAATCCTTAAGAAACAAAGCCAAAAGTGAAATGATTAGTGAGTGGCTTAGAAGAAATAAAAAGAATTCATTTAAGCCTTTTTTTTTTTTTTTTTTTGTACTGGGGATTGAACTCAGGGGCACTCAACCACTGAGACACATCCACAGCCCTATTTTGTATTTTATTTAGAGACAGGGTCTCACTGAGTTGCTTAGCACCTCACTGTTGCTGAGGCTGGCTTTGAACTCGTGATCCTCCTGTCTCAGCCTCCTGAGCCCCTGGGATTACAGGTGTAGGCCACCACACCCAGCTTCATTTAAGCCTTTTATTTCCTACTTAGGAATCTAGAGTTGGACATAATCCACATTTATATGTAAATCCTTAATAGTAAATTTGTAAGATTTATAAGTAACCTTGTATGTTACATTTTGCTCTCTAAATACTGCAGAAACGAAATAACATGATTTTAATTTTCAAGAATTTATAATGTATATATTTATATTATAGCATAAATAATTTTTAAAAATAAATAATATAAAGCCAATTTCTGATACACACCTCAAAGTATTAATAGCAATTTCCTTTTCGGAGTAAAATAAAAGAGAAGCAGGGGAGTAAGAATAAGGACTTTAACTGTTCATTTTTGTAAACATTATATTGTTTTTAAAAAACTTTTTACAATATTAGCACATTCTTTTTTAAATTTTTTTTTTTGCAGTTGTAGGACAGCATGCCTTTATTTTATTTGTTTATTTTTTTATGTGGTACTAAGGATTAAACCCAGTGCTTCACATATGCTAGGCAAGCACTCTGCCACTGAGCTACAGGCTCAGCCCTAGTGTGTTCCTTTTATATTTTAAAAAGTTTTGTTTTTTTACTGGGGTTGGGGGATGTTGTTTTGTTTGTTGGTGATACTAGGTAATGGAATGCAGGGCCTTGAGAATGCCAAGCAAGCATTACACCATTAAGCTATACCCCACAAACCCTAAAGCAAACAATTTTAACAGACAAAATTCTTACCTTCATTTGCTGAGTTCATCTATAGATAAGAAAGTTGACCATCTGTAAATAAAAATTTTTTAAAAATAGAAAGAATTTTGAATGTTTTTACCATAAAGAAATATTTAAGATAGGTAGCTTTGCCCTGGCTTGAACTTTATACAATGTATACATGTATCAAAACATAACATTATTTCATAAATATGTACTATTTTATGTATAAATTTTAAAAATAAATAGAAAAATGTAAAATAGAGAAGTAGAAAGAAAAATCACTCAGTCTTACCACCCAAAGACCATTATATTTTGCTGTTTTTTCCTACTTTTTCTTTAACATAGCTATGACCATATTGCAGACATAATTTTGTTTTCTCATTTTTTACTTAATATTAAAAAGAATCTTCCTAGCTTATTAAACTCCTCATAAATCTCATCTAAATGGCTACATGGTTTCCTAAGTGTCAGTGCAATTGTTTACTAATAATTATTTTCATATTTATTTACTGAATAATTTTTCTCCACTTTGAAGTTGTTGTCAGTCTTGACTATTACAAGTAATGCTATGATGGTTGTTTTTCCTTTGATACCTTTTATTCCCCTCACAGCACATTCACTTTCTCTATCATCCCTGTGAGCTTTCTGAGACCAGCAACCAAAGCAAGGCCGTAAGAATACAGATAAGAAAATTTCCTTTTATCAGTGTCCTGATCAACATACCATATGTCAAAGATCATTAAGCAAACTTGAAATTGAATTAGCAAAATAATCCTTGAAATTTTGATTGAAGAAAAATAAAGTGCTTGAAGAATATAAAGGGAAAAAAGGAACTATGATCTTTCATTAAATTTAATATATTGTTTCAGGCTGATTGTGAATCTATGGTAGTCTCTGTAACAAAGAGTCGATACAAAATTGCTTCCCATCTTGATCTGAAAGATAAGCTGACATTATTTTTTTAACTTAAGAAAGCACATCCTTTGATGTTCCAGAAGTAGTAATATCTTGATGTCAAACAGTCCTTACCTCTGTAGACTCTGTGTCTCTAGTCACGTTTTCACGATGCATGGTCTGCTCTAAAGTTGTTGGGAATACCTTGTTTTGTGAAACTGAAGTGCTTCTGAAAAGTATTGTACAGATATAAACTTTGTCAAATCCAAACATTTGAAAAATATGCCTGGTAACTTTTTATATAAAGAAATTTAATTGAAAGGATGAAGGGAGGAAGAGAAAGAGAAGAGCTGACCATAGAGGTCACATGACTATTGCATGACTAATCTTAGGTTCTCAGTGGGATAGCAGAATTAGAATTTAGACTGGCCTGCTTGTTCTTGGCACAATATTCTTACCTATACCTCAGGGAATTTCTTTAGAATGACATTTTAAATAAGCCTTGATTTAGATATCTGGGCCATTAATATTTGGAAGTAGGTAGGGAATAATGACTTTAAAAAATTAACACTAGGACCAGTTTGGTGTGACTATTTGCTGTCTTCAATTAACTGACTTTATATTTTATTACCATGTTTCTAGAACAATACATTGAAAAGATGTTAGAGATAAAAGAGATTATGGATAACGTACTTGCCAAACAGAAAGCAGAAAGGGATGATCTGGCTAAAAAATACAGGTGAGTTAAAAAAAATATGTGCTGTACAGTTTCTAGAACGTATCTGTTTTTAGCTATAGAAGTACTGTAGTTTGGATCTGCAATGTCCTCTAGAGGTGCTTGGTAAAGGCTTAGTTCCCAGATGGGCACTAATTGGAGGTGGGTCTAGGGGGATGCCTTCCCATCATTGGTGCAAGCCCTCAAGGGAAATAGCAGGGCCCCTTCTGCTTCCTCTCTCTGTGTTCTGGCCATGAAATAAACAACTTTGCTGTGCCACTCACTCCACCATGATGTGCTGCATGCTGCCTCACCATAGTCCCAGAGCATCTTGAGGCCAACCAACCATGGACTGAAACCTCTATAACCATGAGCCAAAATAAAACTTTTCTTTTTACAAATTTGTTATCTCAGGTGTTTGCTAAAGTAATGGAAAGCTGACTAACATAAATAGGCCTAGAATTTCTAAAGAATACAAACATTGCTTAGAACCAATAAATGACTTCATGATATTGTCTAATCTCTTATCTCTGTAGAGAATAATACTTTCTAGAAATATATGTATTTTTAACTTCTTACCTGAAATGTATCTTAAAAAGTTGTCTACAGTGAAGAATCTTGTAAAAGCCTTTCTGATCATGAATTCTACAGATTCTTAGCACACCTAAATTTTCTACATTAATTTTTTTTTTCTTTTACAGTAAATATTGTTTCTTTTAGTGCAGTTGATTAATCAGTTGATTAATCTTAGGATTGTGTGTACGTGTGTATGTGTATGTGTCTGTACTTCTAATCTTTCAGGGTTCTTAAGGAGTTTTATCCTGAAAATGTTGATTATATACCTCTTATTCTTTTTTGAGAAAATTAAAATATTCTGTATCTTTTTATTATTTGGATATTTTTATTAGTTTTTAATGAGACTTAGCTACTTAATTCCATTTGACGTCTATTACATATTCAGGTTTCTCTGGACTTATTTAAAAATAAGTTTGAAATTTTTTAATTCTAAATCTACTATCTTCTGTCTTTATTTTGCCTTTTTCTCCAATAAGTTCCTTCTTGCTTCCTGACATGTTTCCCTGGCAGTAGCAAGCAAGTGAGCTTTCATTGATGGGTAAATCACTGTGGGATATGTTCTAGGGAACTTTAGAATCTAGCTTTAATTCTCTTTAATTATCCTATGGTGAACAGTGTGAACACTTAGAATTTTGTAAACATTCTAGTGAACATCTAGAATTTTGGAAACTTCCTGATTAGAGTTTCAGGTGTCTAAATCCTTATTAAGATTGCTATAAAATTTCAAATCTTGGTCTGGGTAATCAAAGAGATTTTGCTGTCTGAATTCCTTATTTCACATGATGTGGTATTAGTATTTTTATTTCTCCTTTATCTAACTTTTTGCATTTTTTTGCTACTGTTATTTGCTAAACTGATTTCTTCTTGCTGCTCTTTCCACTTAACATATGACAACTTTTTTTGCTGGATATTCAGTATCAACAACTCTATACTTTGATAAGGCAAGATATCTTAAAATTGCTTTTCATTAAAACAGCATTTCTAAAGCATGGTGTAAAGACTCCTGGTAGGTACCTGAAATCATTTCAGAGAGTATGTGAAGTAAAAACTATTTTTTATAATAATACTAAGATATTGTTTTCTTTTGTGAGTGTACAGTGGAACTTTCCAGAGGTAAGCTGATGGTAATGGAGTGTGGGGGTATATATTCTTGTGTTTTAAATTTTTATAAGTTTTCATTTCTAAAACAAATAAAATAAATATCGATAGGTAAAAAAATCCATACAAACAAAAGCCCTTTGGATTCCGCTGAAATTTTTTAAAGTACAAATAAATCCTGTTTTAGAACCACTGGAAATGAAGAGTGTAATTTCCTGAAGCTCAGTGGGGGATAGGTAGGCTTAGCCAAAATACCAAGAGCTATAATGAGCCATTTCCTCTTCTTTAGTCTCAAGATTCTGAGAGATTTGGTTTGGGGAAGGTGCACAGGATGATGGTCATCTAAATAGTCACTCTGGACTTGAAAGTGTCTCAAGATAGATTCAAAGTACAATTACAGTCATTACTTGATAAATTAATATTTCTCAGGTCTAGTTGAGGTGTGATTATTCACAAAACAATCTTGTTTCTCTATAGCTAAAGGAACCTGAGTGGAACTTACTATCAAATTTTACTTCCTAATACACCTACCTTTCTACTCAAAACAGTAAGCAAACCCCAAACTTAAAAAGTGGTGGTTCCTTTTAGCCACCAACTACTACTTTCCAATCAAAAACAAGTAGATATCTAGATAGACAATGTAAGTGTTATTATCTTTTAGAGTTGATTCACAGCTGATAAATAATAATATGGATATAAATCTAACAACTTCATTATCACATCCTTTAAAAAGTAAAACTCACTGTTTTAGTCATTTTTTTGTTTGTTTTTGGTTTTTGCTGTGACCAAAAGCCCTGAAAAAGACAATTAGAGGAGGAAAGTTTATTTTGGCTCATGGTTTCAGAGGTATCAGTACACAGATGGCCAACTCCATAGCTCTGGGCCTGAGGTAAGGCAGATCATCATGGTGGAAGGGTATGGCAGAGGAAAGTAGCTCAGAACATGGCAATAGAAAGAAAAGAGCAGAGACTCTACTTAACCAGGGACAAAATATATACTCCAAAGACATGCTCCCAGTGACCTACTCCCTACCTTCCTACAGTTACTTCCCAGTTAATCCACATCAGCATTTTAGTGCACCTAATAACCCAATCATTTTACCTCTGAAAATTTTTCCATTGTCTCACACACAGCTTTTGGGGGACACCTCATGTCAAAACCATAACACCTGAAATAAAGGAATTTCCTCTCAATGGCAATACATTGTAAAGGTAGACTTTCGAGTACTTCAAGCTGATTAAAATCAAGACAGAGAATCTTAAACATCTAAAATGAATGATAAAACAAAGTTTTCTACTCTGTGTGTTTGTTTGTTTCCTGTTTCTGTTTCTTCCTATAGGGTATCCATAGAGTCATTTAAGCATGGAGCCCTGAGAGAACAGCTGGCCAACTTGGCCACAAGACAGAAGAGCCTTTTAGTTGTGGCAAAGAAACAGAAAAAAATAAGTCTGAAAATTCAAAATTATAAAAATGTCACATCATTGTCTGATCCTAGTTTAAGGAAGTTGCCATCCAGCTCACATATCTTCAGTGAAAAGGACAACAAAGAGCTTACGAGTCTGGAAAATTCAGTGCAGCCTCATTCAGGTTCACTTTCTCATATCAATATTGCTTGTAGAAGCATTCAAGAAACACCATTGTCTCTGGAAACAAGCCATGACAGCCATAATACCAATATTTGTCTAGATTCAGAGGCAGTAAGAAGGGAAGAATTTTCTGGAATTGAGATGAATTCTAAACAAAATGTTAATGATTGTACCTTGGATGGGTTATTCCAATCTCGATACCCAGATAGCAGTGATAATAAATTGTCATCCCAAACTGATGCTTTCATTGCTCATGCAGAATATTCACAAAAAGATAATGATCATACAGAAACTACAGCCAAAGACTGTGAATTCTATAGTCCTTTTGCCATAACTGGCACATTAAATGGTTCCAAACATACAAGTATACTTTCCCAAAAGGATGCCCATCCATCAGCTATTATTTGGGACCAGGACCTTTCCCAGTATGATCCAAAAAGAGGAAACAGAAAAACAGCTTCCCAGCAACCACCTGAGGGGACATCGGAATCCTGGGCACACCAAGCCATTGCGGTCTTAGGCACTGATACTGTGCATCAGACAAAACAATATCTTGAAAAAAAAGCTTCTGCTGTTCCACATATAAATAACAGTCAGGTCTCTTCTTCCTCTGGATCTGGCCATCAACATACTATTAAAAAGCCTTTAAACTACAGCACAACTCCTAAAAAGAAATGTATGCAGATAAAAGATTTGATATTATTAGGAAGAATGAATCCAGGAAATAACATTCTGGAATTTAAAACACAGGTATTCTATATTTTTTTCTCTAAAATCACATAAATTTTATAATAAGTTAATGTTGCTGTCACATAGGTATTTAGGGAACTGGAGTTTGACTGGGCTTCCTGAATGGAGAGATACAATCTTTGTATTCTTAGTAAGTGAAATCATGCTACTGGAATTGCCTTAATATATTTCAATCACAAGCACCTTTGGATCTTCAAACCAGAACTAGTTTATTATATTGCAACAGGAAGGATTTAAGAATTAACATAAAAATAATAAATTGAAACTGTCATTAGTTCCATATAATTTCAATAACTACTACTATACTGCTAAAGCATGCCCTAAAGAGATATGTATAAATTCATCTTCCAAAGAAGCTCAGTTTAGAACCCAGAAGTGGCTTGGAGTGTGGGTAAATCTGACTAAATTAAAATAATATTACATATACATAAAAAATGAGGAGAAAAAAGTTTTGTTGGATATGCCTGTAAAAAGGGTTTCCTCTCCTCTTTCTCTACGTGCACTTTTTAAAAGAAGAATTTAGATTAACAAAGATCACAGAGTCCTTGAATGCTTCTTTGCTTATGGGCCAATCTGACAATTCAGTCCAGACTAATTAACATTTAATCTGAATGACCTTTGTTTCCAGCTCTGCTCATTTCTGGATAATAAAGCTTTCCATAGTTAATAAGTTTTATTTGTAAATTTAAGTAAAAATATTTAAATTTTAAATCTCAAATTGTAGTTTATGACTGAATTAGTGGCTTGATCTCAGATCCCTCAATAATCCAGTTTCTTTGCCTGGCAACCAATTTGTTTTTAAGTGGTGTCTACCTTAATTAACCAATGCAGCTCAAAATTTAGCAGATTAGTTATTCTATATTAGTTTTTTATTTACTCATATTTTGACAGTTGTGATACCTTCTTAAATCAGCGATAATAAAGTTTTGGTAGAGATTTTCATATTTCAGCTATTTTTCTTTCTTTAACAGCTTTATTGACATATAGTTGGTATACAATATACTTACACATAATTGAAATATACAATTTGGTAAGCATTTGTATGTACTTGTGAAACAATGATCACAAGATAATGAAATATCCATTAATCTCAAAAGTTTCTTCTTGCCTTCTTGTACCATACCTTTAATCCCCTTCCCTTCCTTTGCTGATCCCCTGATAATTACTGGTCTCTTTTCTTCTCTTACACATTCATTTACAATTCCAAGAATTGTGTGTAAGTGCAAATATACTTTATGTATTGATTTTTGTCTGACTTCTTCTTCTGAATGTAATCATTTAAATTTATCCTTGTTATAGCATGAATAAGTCATTCATTCCTTTTTCATTGTTTGATAGTAGCCCATTATATGTGTATATCAGTTTGTTTATCAGTATGCCTATGATAGACAGTTAGGTTGTTTCTATTTGTTGGCTATAAAGCTATTATGAATCCTGGTGTACCAGTTTTGGTATGACACAGACTTTAATTTTCTTGGGTAAATACCTAGGAATGGAGTTATTTGGTCATACGGTAATTATACATTGAACTTAAAAAATTGTCAGAGTTGTTTGTAAAATTTTACATCTCCATTGGTTGTGAATGAGAGTTCTAGTTCCTCAATGTAGTATAATCAGACTTAATTTTAGGCTTGCTATCAGAGTGTAGATGTGTGTATTGTGATATAACCTGCACATCTGTATAGTGGTTTATCACTATGGTTTTAATTTGCATGCCTATAATTATGATTGATATTGAATATCTTTTCACATGGTATTTGCCATCCATATTTATTATTCGATGAAGTGTCCAAATCTGTTGCCCTTTTTTTATTGGTTGCTTATTTTCCTATCATGTTTTGTGATACACACACACACACACACACAAAGTACATATAGATATAATCTTTATCAAACATGTACCATCCCAACTATTTTTACTATATTGTGGCTTGTCTTTTCATTCTCTTAACATTATTTTTTAAAAATAGAAGCCTTTAATTTTTTTTGTAGTTTTAGGTGTACAGCATGCCTTTATTTTATTTGTTTATTTTTATTTGGTGCTGAGGATCAAATACAATACCTCATACATGCAAGGCAAGTGCTCTGCCACTGAGCTATAGCCCCAGCCCAGAAGCCTTTAATTTTGGTGCAGGCTAAATACTTAATTTATTCTTTCATAGATTATGTTTTTCATTTCCTATTTAGGAATTATTTGTCTTCCCTAGTTTCAAAGTTCTATTTTCTTCTAGAGTTTTTAGTTTTACATTTAGGATTACAATCTATTTTTAATTAATTTTTGTATGTAGTACAATGTCAGATCTTCATTCATATTTTTGAATTTGTATATCCAGTTGTTCTACCAACATATGTTGAAAAGATACCCTTTCTATTTAATTGCCCTATATATCTTTGTCAAAAATCAGTTGCTCATATGTATGTCTATTTTGGTCTCCCTGTTTCTGTTTCATTGATTTATTTGCCTATCTTTCCATCACTACTAAACTATCTTGATTATTGTAGCCATAAATAAATCTTGAAATCTGGTAGTGTTAGTATTCCAGTTTTGTTCTTTTTTAAAAGTGTTTGGATATTCTAGGTCCATTGTAATGATATATGAATTTTAGGATGAGTTTGTAGATTTCTACCCCCAAAAAGGCTGCTGTTATTTTTATTGGTTTTTCATAAAATGTATAGGTTAATTAGGGAGGAAATGGAATCACAATAATATTGAATTGTTCAGCCCATGAATATGGTATGTATTTCCATCTATTAAGGTCTTTATTATTTTTCTCAGCAGTGTAGCATTGTATAGGTTTTTCACTATATTTTTGTTGATATTATAAGTGATATAGTTTCAAAATTTCAGTTTCTGGTGATTTATTGCTAATATGTAGAAACTGATTTTTACATACTGATATATTATCCTGCAACCTTGTTAAAATTACTAGTTCTAGTAAATTTTTAGAAATTTAATTGGATTTTCTATATAAATGATCATATTGTCTATGGATAAAGATAGTTTTAGTTCTTTTTAGAATTTTGAATGCCTTTATTTCTTTTTGTTGTTCTACTGCACTGGCTAAAAACCTCCAGCAGAGAGTGGAAATAAAGTGGTGAAAGCAGACTTGTATTTTCTCACTCCACAACATAAGACTACTTAGGGAGAAAAATTTAGTCTTTCACCATTAAGCATGAGCTGTAGGTTTTTCATAGATGCCCTTTATCAGACTAAGTTCTTGTCTATCCCTAATTTACTGCTTGAGTGTCTTTAATCCTGAAAAGGTATTGGCTTTGCCAAATGCTCTTTCTGTATCTATTGAGATGATCATGTGGAATTTTGTTGTTCTATTGATGTGATCTACAATCAATCATTGATATGATATATAAATCAATTTATGTTAGCTGATTTTTGGATGTTAAACCAACTTTACATTCCAGGAATAAATTCCACTTGGTAATTCTATATGATTCTTTTTAAATGTTGTTAGATTTGATTTGCTTGTATTTTTTTAAAGTTTTCATTCATATTTATTGAATACATTATATGTAGTTTTCTTTTGTTGTCTGCCTCATTTTGATGTCAAGCCAAATAGAATGAGTTCAGAAGTGTTTCTTTTTTCTTGTTTATTGGAAGAGTTTGTGACAAATTGGTATTAAGTCTTCTTTAAATGTTTTGTAGTATTTAGCAGTAAAGTCATCTGTGCCTGGGCTTTTCTTTTAGGATGTATATATTTTTTATTACTAATTCAATCTTTTTTTTTTTTTTTTTTTTGGTACTGAGGATTGAACCCAGGGATGCTTAACCACCGAGCCACATCCCCAGCCCATTTTATTTTTTATTTTGAGCCAGGGTCTTGCTAAGTTGATTAGGGCCTTAAAAAGTTGCTAAGGTTGACTTGGAACTTTCGATCCTCCTGCCTCAGCATCCCAAGCCACTGGGATTACAGGTGTGTTCCACCATGCCCAGGTGTTTACTTTAGGTATTTCTTGTTGAGTCAGTTTTGGTAGTTTGTGTCTTTCTATGAATTTGTCCATTTCACCTAATTTATTGGCATATAGTAATTCATAGTATTCTCTTAAAATCCTTTTTATTTCTCCAAGGTTAGTAGTAATGTTCCTACTTAATTTCTGATTTTTGTCATTTGAGTCTTCATGCTCGATTTTTAATAAGTCTTGCTTAAAGGTTTATCACTCTTGTTGATCTTTTAAAAAAATCAACTTTTGGTTTTGTTGATTTTCACAACTGTTTTTCTATTGTCTACTTATTTATTTTCACTCTAATATTTATTATTTTAAGTACATATTTTAAGTACATATTAAGTAATATTTATTATTTTAAGTACATATGTTTTTCTATTGTCTACTTATTTATTTTCACTCTAATATTTATTATTTATTTTCTTCAACTTGTTTTGTGTTTAATTTGCTCTTCTTTTTCCATTGTCTTAAGTTAAAGATCTTCTTCTCTAAAATAGACATTTCTATAACTATAAACGTCCCCCTCAATTTCTTTGGTTGTATCCCTAAGTTTCAATATGTTGTGTCTCCTTTTCATTCATCTCAAAGTATTTTCTAATTTGGATCAATTTTTCTTATTCATCGGTTATTTATAAAATACGTTCTTTTTTTTTCATATAATAGTGAGTTTCTCAGGGTTCTTTTTTTTTTCTGTTATCATTTCTAATTTCATTCCGTTGTGGTTGAAGAACATATATTACTTCAATTATTTTAAACTTGTTCAGGTTTATTTTATGGCTTAGCTAGCAAATATCCTGGAGAATGATCCATGTGTGCTTAAGAATGTATATTCTGCTGTTATATTTTCTATAGATGCCTGTTAAGTCTAATCGGTTTATAGTGTTCAATCCTTGTCTTTCCGTATTGATTTTTTTGCCTGTTTGCTATGTATAACTCCATATTGAAAGTAGGATATTGAAGTCTACAACTATTCTTGTTGAATTATCTATTTTTCCCTTCATTTCTGTTAATTTTTGCTTCCTGTGTTTGTGTACTCTTTTGTGTTTTAAGTACATATGTATTATATATAATTGTTATATGTGCTTGATGCATCACCCTCTTAACATTATAAAATGTCCCTTTTTATCTCTAGTAAAAATTTTTGTTTTAAGGTCTATTTTCATCTGATTTTAGTATAGCCACTTCAGTTTTCTTGCGGTTGCTGTTTGAATGAAACATTTTTTTTTATCTTTTTACTTTCAGTTTACTTGTCTCTTTGAATTTAATATCTGTCTCCTATATGCATTATATACTTAGATCTTGATGTTTTAATCCAATCTGAAAATATCCACTTTCTTAAAAGTTTGTTTAATCCACATACATTTAATGTTATTAATACTGTTGGATTTAGGGCCTGTTACATATTTTATCAGATCCCATACAGTAAAATTTGCCTCTTGAATGCTGGATATGTATGTAGTCTTATAAATATTTTGGAAACTTTTTCTTGAAAATGGTTTGATTCTTTTGGGTCTTGTTTTCAAGATTTGTTAGGCAGGATCAGAATAGTGTCAAGTCCAGTGCTAGTTATTTTCCACTACGGAGGCAAGATTCTTTTATGTATTCCACTGATGGCCCATCAGTCTGAAGGTCTTTCTACTCTTGCTTTAGGGACTCTATTCCCTGTCTTGTGAGAGTGCCAGGTGTCAGTACCTCTAATTCTTTCAAGTGGTTCTTTTTCCACCCTTGGTCAATTTCCTCACACATATCCATCTATCCCCTCTCAGCTGAAATTTAAAGAGGACCCTCTAAAGATCTACAGAGTTTTCTTTCTTTCTATTTTTCTCTTCAATACCTTGTCCTACAGACTCTAGCCTCCTGTATCCCGCAGACTCTAGCCTCCTTTGTCCCTAGACTCTGCTCTGTTTCCTCAACTCAGGGTGTCCAAAGGCTTTGCCTGGATTCCCTTTCCCTGTACATGACTTGGAAACTCTCTCATGGTGGTAAGCTGGGATAATTATAGGGTTCACCATAGTAAATTATCATCTCTCAGAGATAATTGCCTGATTCTTGGCCTCTTATAAACAACTGGATCATATATTTTGTATTCTTTTGTTGTTTTTGTGTCAAATGATAGGTAAATCTGATCCCTATTATTTCATCATGGCCAAAAACCAAAGTTCATAGATTTCAGCAATTTTTATCTTAATTTTATTTATTTATTTATTTATTTATTTATTTTTACTTCAGGAGACTATCCACAAAGCCAGTGTTTTATTAAGTGGCAAAATTAAGGTAGAAAATGGTCAGATTTATCAAAACCCAGTCACTTGGCTCAAGGATCTTCTGGGAGGTGACAGTTACGTGACCTGGAATTACGCCTGGAGTAAGGTGGGTCATTCTCAAGTTTATCTTTAATTTCATAGTTAAATTAAAATACATATTTTTATAAAGAAACATTTTTAAAAGAAGTCTGAAAGATCTCTCAGATAGTTTTTGCCCTCATTTGTCTCTTCTGTGACATTGCTACATGCTTTAATCTACACTGTATTTGCCAAAATTCTCATGGCTGTGCAGCTCCCTTACTTGCTCCTTATCTAGTTTCAGAAACTTAATTGGCTCTAATCTTCCATTTTTATCCTTCTAATAAATTTCAGGGCTTTATGACTCCATATAGAAATTTGGGACCACTAGTGTACTAATATTTTAGTTTATGCATGTTATTATTATTCTAATGGAATAAATCAAAATGTAACCTAAATATGAAAGTACATTTTACTTTTAGTTTTGAACGTAGCATTAATCACATGTTGCTAAAAGATTTGAATATTTTCCTCAAAAAGGAATATTTTCAGACCTCACAGACTTAGTAGCCTCTCTCAGTTCTGGCTTCTGAGTTATAAGCCCACTGATGACTGACACCATATGGTCCAGTGTTCATCCACCCGTAAGTGTCTGTGGTACCACATCAGGTCTTACAATGACTCACTCAAAAAAGTATGAATCATCAGATCCACCATTATGGTTTATACCTTTAAACTTCCCTACCCTTTGCAGTAAGCCTCAGTACACCAATAATAGAAGGCATAGCTTCCCTTCTTTTGTTGTCCAGCTCAGTTCTATCTGCCTTCCCTCCTTGCTCCTGCTCTGCCCCGAACTCTGTGCCCCTACTCTGCATTCTCTCCTTGTAGGCCTTTGTAGCAGGTACTTCTGGTACTGTTTCAGTCCCTTCACTTCATCAGCACATTCTGGATTTTGTGTGCTCTATAATCTCTCTGACTTTTTTCCCTCGAAAGTTTTTTCTTTCCCCACCCCTACAATCACCAGATTGTCTGCTTTTTACACCTTTGCTCAGTTCTTTTCATGGATTGATAATTTATATCAAATGATAGTAATTAACATCTTACACCAGTAATCCTTTTTATTAGAATATTTTAAAAAGTCTTTTGATATATTTTTATTGTTTTGTTAAACCATTCTCATGGCATTGATAATGGTACTCATTGCTGTGGTTTTGGTTCTTTTGGCATGCTGAGAAGACTCTGTTCTCTCAAGCTTTTTGTCCATTATAACCACTACATTTCCTGCCTTTGAGAGCTGTCTGTGACATCATTTGGCCCTCACATGTTACTAATGCCACATTTGCATATCCCATTGCTTCTAGTGTTTTCTCAGCAATCAAGCCAATTAGAGTTCTAATGTTTAGTATCTATATGATAGTGAAGTCAGCTGCAAATATGGATACTACAGATTATCTGAGCAGGTTTAGATTACTTTTCTTTTTTAGGTTATCCCCAAAAATGAAAGCAGAGTTTTTAAAATTTCTATGGGACACACACTAGACAGTACTTTTTAGTAAATACCCCAAATTGAAATATGATCCCAGTGAGTTTCTCATAATATTTAAAAGTTTCTTTAAAATCTTCTTTTAAAGTTTACCACAGAAAACTCTGTCTCCTCTTGTCTGAGAGGAGCTCCTGAATTCACAGATACTTCTTGATGATGAAAACTTTTCACTGCACTGGTAAATGTGAACATTCTACTGACTAGTTCTGAGAATGTTGGTGGGGGTATAGGGCCAGGAATGATTGGCTGTCCGGCATGAAATGTATGAAAAGTATGTAGAAAAGATTTTGATTTGAGGGCAACAGAAATGTAGAAAAGTATGTCTTTCTCTGCATCAGATAGTGACAATGTCACTAGATACAGAAATGATTCATACCTCCTACCCAAGCAGCTGGGCTGCTGTACATCTTTGCTAAGGAAATTTTGGTGCTTAGGAAAATTCTTTACTGAGGAAATTCAACTCACTTCACTGATTTCTCTTGCAGCTTCTGCCTCCTAGCTGTTAGACACCATTCTAATGGCCAGAGTAATCTCTGGGTAGGAGACAGGATGCCAAACTGGTTTCTGATTCTACTTTTTATAAGTTATTTGATCTGGGCAACAGTTTTTAATCATGGTTATTTCTAGAATTACTTACAGAGGGTGGAGTGGCTTTTTAAAACTAACAATGTCTAGTGGACCTCAGCTCAAAGCTTCTGATCTAATAGTCTGAGTTGGGAACTAAGTGGCAATATTCTTAAAAGCTTTCCAAGTGACTCTTTTTTTTTATGGACATAATATCTTTTTTTATTTTTTTATGTGGTGCTGAGTATTGAATCCAGTGCCCACACATGCTAGACAAGTGTGCTCTACCACTGAGCCACAACTCCAACCCCTTTCCAAATGATTCTAATGTTCATCCTGGAGCTAGGACAAATCATTTAACTTGGTCTTCTAGTCCTATACATAATTTTTCTGCATTTATTAACAATGGCACAAGGGAGGCCCACATTCCTTTCATTGCAAACAAGTTGCCCTCAAATCAAAAGAACACGTGGAATCATCTAACCACGTTTATCAATATGTAGCCTCAATCATAGGCAGCAGAAATGGCTCACCTCCACAGGAAAATGCTTTTCCAGTCTATGACCATTCCACCTTGAATGTGCTGGATCTCCTCTAATCTCAGAAACTAAGATAACTTGGCCCTGGTTTTTATTTGAATGGAAGGGAAATTGCCTTTTGGTGATATGATTGCCATACAAAATTTATAAGAATCATTAGAATGGCAATGGTAGTTCATTTTTGGGACCCCCAGGAGTGAATTGATGAAGTTGAAAAGTAGGCTATCGTTTTAGGTTGTGACTCAAGGAACACTAGACAGATACCTTGTGCAAACATACTTTCTGGCCAGATGCCTTGCTAAATTTTCACCCTGATAAACTCACTCCTTTGGAGTTAGTGTTGACTTTCCTCTTTCCCTCCACCCTCACATATTTTTATAAAAGAAATTCCTCCAACTACCATAATTAGGAATATCAAGATATAGACAGGTTAGGGACAGAGTATAGAAAGTGATGAAAATTGTTCATCTGGACAGATAACCTAATTCAGTCAGTTACTCTCAAAGTGTCTTAAACTTTATACAAACTTAGCTTCTACACAACTGTATTATAGAAGAGAAAAGAGATGGCTAGAGAAATGGATCTTTTTAAAAATACAAATATCCAGGAGTTGCAAATTCTGAAAAATAAGTACTAGAAAGGACCTTTTCTTGCCTCCTGCTGAATAGAGTGCTGGGGAATGAAGAAAGGAGTCTGGAATTGGAATTGGGAGATATGTACTATGAAAAAGAACTTTACCTGAAAAATCATTTACCTAGAAGCAATTCTTACACTTTAAAATGACTTTCTGTCTTGTATTCTGAACTCTTAAAGAAATATTTTATTTAAAACATATATTCTTAACCACAATGTTTTTTGTATTATAATGAGCCTAAAAAATACAGTTTTCTTTTGTTTCTTTGCTTTGTTCCCCTATTCTGAGATCTAAAAACAAAACAACTATCCTTTTCTCTTTCTTCTCTTGAGGTATTGAAAATTGTAAGACTTGCTGCTTAAAACTTACAGATTCCTATTAATCCATATTATAAATTGTTTTTCTGAAGACATGAGAAAAACAGACTGATACTTTCAAAAATAAAATGGACTCCCATCAGGGAAATAAATTTTTGGACACTTCTTTAATATTCAAAGGTGTCATGGTTTAGATATTATGTATCCCCCTAAAGTTTGTGTGTGAGACAATGCAAGAAGTTTTAGAGGAGAGAGGATTGGGTTATGAGAGCCTTAACCCAGTCAGTGAATTAATTGCCTGATAGGATTAACCGATAGATGAAGGAGGATAGAGTGTGGCCGGAAAAGGTGGGTCACTGGGGGCGTGCCTTTGGGCCTGCATTTTGTTTTTGACAAGTGGAGCCTTTCTTTCTGCTTTCTGATCATCAAGTAAGCCGCTTCCCTCCACTAAACTCTTCCTCCATGAAGTTCAGCCTTATTTGAGCCCTTACCTATGAACTGAGACCTATGAAACTGAACGCTTAGATAAACTTCCTCCTCTAAAGTTGTTCTTGTCAGGTCTTTTAATCACAGCAGTGAAAAGCTGACCAAAACAAAAGGCAGTCAGGAGGTTGAAACAGGAGGATCACCAAGTTCAAGGTCAGTCTCAGAAACTTAGTGAGGCCCTAAGCAACCCTGTCTCCAAAAAAAAGAAAAAAAAATTCAAAAGCAGGTAATGTTTTATATTTTTTTCTTGATTCATATGAATAGGTATACAGAAACATTTGTTATAGCAATTAATAATGACAGTTAATATTGCCAAAATAAAGTTAATTGATATTCTCACTTGCTTATTAACCACATTTCCATGTGGTTCATCTACCTCACACATAAGTACTTGTGCACGCACGCACACACACACACAAACACACAAACACACATGTGTTGCATACATCCTACTTCTTCCCCAGCATCCTTCTTTCTTAAGTCTGCTATGAGGGAATCAGCATAGGCTAATATCTGAGGAATAATGGACATTGGCTATAAGGTTTCAGGGAAAACCCCAGTGGCCTTAGGACAAAACATCCCTGCAACTTTACCTTTTAGAAAAGCAAGAACATAACAACCTACAGATATCTTCATAGAACACAGCTTATACTGTCTCTTACTTTTTCTCATCTGGGGGAACATGACAAAGTTTCTGAGAGCACTAGAGGCCATGAAGTCCAAAAACCTCAGAAACTAGCCTCCAGCTCTTCCTACCATGCCTCTGTCAGAGTGGGCATGTGAGCTACATTTGGATCCTTAGTAAAATTTTCAGGATTCAAAGTTTGAGCTGTATGAAATGTGATAACTGTTTGCACTTTTGCTTTAGCCAACTGGAGCACAGACACTAATATGAAATACAATTTCTAGAAGTGACTGTCTGTTTCTTTTGAGTCTTTTCATTAATTTATTCAACAAATCACTCTACTCTGTGAAAGATACACTTTAACTCGGTGGATTTTCTTAAAGTTGTGTTGTTTATATCTGAATTACCTCCAGTGGTATGTGTAAGTCACTTTATGTTACCCAGTACTAAAACTGATTAAAAATATGCTTTTAAAGTATGAGATGAAGACGCTAACATACTGAACCTGCGCTTCCATTAGTTTATAAGGTATATTAGATATTGTCAGGGCATAACCCGTACAAAATTCATTATTTATAATTATTGGGTTTTTTAGAGAACTGACAAATGACATTCAGGAGCTGTTTCTCTCCTTTTATTTCATGGCAAATGAGGAGGGATTGGCACACTGGGCAAGCCAAATATATCCCATTTGCTTTACTTGGCTTTGTTTGGTGAGGGGTTGAGCCCAAATCCTATATGTACTTTATAGATCACCTATGCCTTCCTGGCCCTGTTCAATTAACAAGATTTTAGGATGTGACAGATAGTATGCCAGATGCTTTTCATGCATTTTATCTCTTAATCCTCTAAGAACTTAATACGCTGAAGATACTTGTTTCACAAATGGATAACCTGAGGCTTGGAATTTAAGAATCTTACTTAACAGTTGTGGCTTCAGTCTTTTATTCCATAATGTCAGGCATTATGTGAAGTGCTAAAGATATACAAATGAATATGACACAGACCATGTCCTCTAGAAGTTTATGGCTTACTTGACACAAGAGACATTAAAACATAATTTCTTTTAAATGGAATAAATGCTGTGACAGAAATAGGAGCACAAAAGATATGAGAGCCTAGAGGAAGGTCATTAAATTTAGAGGTTATAAGAAGACATCCTGGAGGAAGAGATGTTGAAATTGAGAATTGATACTCTGCCCTAAGAGAACCTGCCCTTTGGGGGTTTTAGGTAGCCCTAGACCTAAGAGTGGGGAGTGCAAAGACCCGTGGACCAGGAATATTTCTGGTAGGTATATGCCTCAGCCCTGTCCATTATTTATAAATATTTTTAAGCTCTGGCCTATGGGATTAATAAAAACATCTAAGTCCACATTTTTTTATAACTGGATATGTAGACCTGAAATATTAATAATCTAATCATCTAAATATTTTATTTCTTGAAAAGTACTATTACTTTTAAGGCTTAATTTTTTAATGTCAATATTTTTTGAGGTCATAAAATAGCAGATGAAAGATTAACAGTTGTTGAATAAGTGAATGGATGAAAGAGGTAGTAATATACATCAGGGGTCAGTAAATTTTTTCTGTAAACAGGCCAGATAATAAATAATATTTTAGGTTTCATGGGCATGTCACACTATTAAGTTCTTTTGTAGACAAAAGTGGGCAGAGATGTTAAGTAAGTGACTGGGTGTCACTGTGTTCTAATAAAATATTATGTTCTAATAAAATATTATTTTCAAAATTATTTACCAAAAAAAGGAGGCAGTCTGTACTTTGCCATGGGCTATAGTTGGATCTACAATAATCAGTACTTAACAAAAATTACAATTTTCAGGAGATTGATATATTTGCCTCTTACAGAATGTATGTTTTTTTTTTAATTTTGGTTTTGATTATGTGTAGGTAACGTATCTTGGGAAGGAGCTTTTAAAGTATGTTTCTGAGGAAGTACCTGTATCTCCAGAACCAAATGTAGTACCTCAACAACATCAGTCTTGTCTTCCAGGTATGTCTGGCCCAACATCTGTTTCTTGGTTGTGGGATAAAAACACCCAAACCTACTCTTTTTATTGTGTGTGTGTTTTGGTCTTTTATTTTTCATTGAGGTAAAATTCACTATTATTCATTACAATTAACCATTTTAAAGTGAAAAATACTGTGGCATTTAGTACACTCACAATGTTACACAACCACTACTTTGATTAGTTTCAAATATTTTCATCACCCCAAAAAGAAACTTACTCCCCATTCTCTACTCCCCCAAGTTCCTGGAAACCCCAGGGTCTACTTTCTGGAATGGATGAACCTGTTCTGAATATGGAATTATATAAGATAAGACTTTTTGAGTCTGACTTCTACTTTATATGATATTTTTGAAGGTTATTTTAGCATGTATCTGTACTTCAGACAGTACTTCTATGACAGTAGAGTGTATTTTGACATATTATCCATACATGGAGTATAACTTATTATAATCCTATTCTTGTGGTTATACATGATGTATAATTTCACTGGTGGTATATTCATACCATTTATATCTTTTTCCCCACATCCTTGCCAACATTTATTGTTACTTTTATTCTTGATAATTGCCATTCTGACTGGAGTGAGATGAAATCTCAGTGTACTTTTATTTTGCATTTCTCTAATTGTTAGAGATGTTGAACATTCTTTCATATATTTGTTGACCATTCATATTTCTTTTTCTGTGAAGTGCCTGTGCAGTTCCTTTTTCCATTTATTGATTGGGTTATTTGGGTTTTGGTGTTAAGTTTTTTGAATTCTTTATATATCTTGGAGATTAATGTTCTATCTAAAGTGCAAGTGGCAGAGATTTTTCCCCCATTCTTTAGGCTCTCTTCACATTCTTAATGGTTTCCTTTGCTGTGAAGAAGCTTTTTAGTTTGATTCCATCCGATTTATCGATTCTTGATTTTAGTGCTTGGACTTTATGTCTTGTTGAGGAAGTCAGTTCCTAAGCCGACACGATAGAGTGTCTACACTTTGTCTACATTTTTTTTTTTTTTTTTTTTTTTTAGTAAGTGCGGAGTCTCTGGTCTAAGGCCTAGGTCCTTGATCCACTTTGAGTTGAGTTTCATGCAGGGTGAGAGATAGGGGTTCAATTTCATTTTGCTACATGTGGATTTCCAGTTTTTCCAAAACTGTTTGTTGAAGAGGCTGTCTTTTCTCCAATGTTATGTTTATGGCACCTTTGTCTAGTAGGAGATAACTGTATATATGGGTTTGTCTCTGTGTCTTCTATTCTGTTCTATTGGTCTTCATGTCTGTTTTGGTGCCAATATCATGCTGTTTTTGTTATATAGCTCTGTAGTATAATTTAAGGTCTAGTATTGTGAGATCTCCTGGTTCACTTTCTTATTAAGGATTGCTTTGGCTATTCTGGGCCTCTTATTTTTCCAAATGAATTTTTCATGACTGCTTTTTCTATTTCTATAAAGAATGTCAATGGGATTTTAATAGGAATCACAATAAATCTGTATAGCGTTTTTGATATTATGGCATTTTGACAATATTAATTCTTGTCTATCCAAGAACATGGGAGATCTTTCCATCTTTTAAGTTCTTCAATTTCCTTCTTTAGTGTTCTGTTGTTTTCATTGTAGAGGTCTTTTCACCACTCTTCTTAAGTTTTTGATTGTGTTTGGATGGGCTTTTTTGTTTTGTTTTGTTTATTTTTTAAGGCTGTTGTGAATGGGATAATTTTCCTAATTTCTCTTTCAGCTGATTCTTCTTTGGTATAAAGGAACGCAATTGACTGATGGCTGTTAATTTTATATCCTGCTACTTTGCTAAATTTGTTTATGAGTTCTAGAAGGTTTCTCATAGAGTTTTTGGGTCTTCCAAATATAGGACCATGTTGTTGGCATATATTTAACTTTTTGAAGAACAGCCACTCCTTTCCAAAGCAGTGTAACCATTTTACATCCCCAATTGTAATTTCAAGGGTTCTTATTTTTGTACATCCGTACTAACACATCCATTTTATTCCTAACTACTGTTGATTTTAGGAGAATTTAAAAAATGACAAAATCCTTTATAATTCTTTTTTCTGAATCTATTCTGTACTTTCTTTGGTTAATTTTTAAAAAGTATCATATAGGAATCAGTCATGTAACATAGATAGGAAAAGGTAAGAGAAAAGTAATAGAAATACAAGGGGAAAGATGGCAAGATAAGTTGGAATCGAAAAATGCAAAAGCTAAATGCATCAAGGATATTTTATAATTTTTATAATTCATCACAGTGTGAATCTTTATATTAAAACTTTTTCCGCTTAAAAAAAGTATCATTAAAATCATGCCCAAAGTGACATGATTTGGTTATTAAAATATTTTCTATAAATAGGTACTAAAATAAATCTTTGCTTATTAAACTAATACTCCTGGTTGGGGATGTAGCTCAAGGGTGAAGCACTTACCTAGCATGCATGAATCCTAGGTTTAATCCTTAGTACAAAAAAAAAAAAATTGTATACCAAACTAATACTCCTTATTAAATGGAGTAAACTTCCTCATGAGAAAACTAAAGATGTAGTCTTCACCAGTGAGCAGCACATTTTGAAATGATCTATGAAAGGGCAGAACACATTTCTGAAAAACAGCAGTATTATATTATTCGTCTCTACCACAGTACCCTCTCTTTTTATCTTGGTGTCCCAGTTGAAGACAATATAAGCAGAGAGGTAGTGCAAAATAGAAAATGACAATACTCTGATAAGCAGGATAAAGAACCAAACAGGATTTCTATCACCAAGTCCTTAACCAGAAGTTCTCAGGAATTATTCCTTTTCTTACTACAAAGCTCCATAATTCAAACTACTTTTCTCTTCTAACTTTATACTTATCCCACACTAATCTCTCAGTATTATCCTTTCTCAAACACTGGCTACATGATAGGGTGCATTCTTCCCAGTTTTCTGAAGACGGCCTCAAAAGTACTTTTCATCAGTAATGGGAAACTTAATCTGGGAGACCAGGTAACAATAAATTAATTAAGTTAAATTTTTTAAGAAACTGGAAATAGTTCCTGTAGTAATTCATGGTCTTTGATCCCTAACTTTTAACTACAGATCTATTAAATCAATTCTTGTGGTAAGTTCCAGTATCCTGAATTTTTAAAAGTGACTCTTACATAGCCAGTCTGACTATAGACTTTGGATGACTAGTAATATTTGATTTTTTATGCAGATGATAATTTGACAAACCTTGATATTCAACCTTTTACTTAGATTCCTAAGGGTGGAATTACTAAAGCATGCAAGCTCTCTCTTGCTCTCAGATCTGTCTTCACTCTCTTTTTCCCTAGTGCATATGCACAGATGCTCACACTCATACACACACTTAGCTCTTCTGTAGGGGCTCAGATCCAGGAAACAGATCCTGAATCTATTCTATGCTTTCCCAGCAGGTAGAAGATGCACAACACAGTTAGGATAGTAGACATGCCTTATTCATAGGTGGCAACAGCCTCCAGCTTTAGCTTTAGCCTCAAGCTGGTTCCATTTTGCCCTAGTCAGTTCTATTTAGCACATCACAAGTCTTTTCCATAGGCCCTTTTATATGCAGGCCAAAGAAGGCGCAGTGCCAACAGGTTGCGTAAGTGGGCATGTGCTCAGAAGCAAAATATTTATAATCTTGAATAAATACACTGAATCAGGTAGTTTCTGACCTTGACTACACACTGACCATAATGTAACTGATTCGTGTCCTTAGTTACACACTAAAAATATAACAATAGCCTTTCAGAAGCCTCAGCAAGGTATCCTAACTACAGCCATTTTGGGCCTACCCCAACACATGTGGGCACATACTCTTGGAGGAAAGTCAAGCAAACTCTTTCTCCTGCTACTTTCTTTTTTTTTTTTTTAATTTTTTTTTTTAGTTGTTAATGGACCTTTATTTATATGCAAAGCTGAAAAATGAACCCAGTGCCTCACATATGCTAGGCAAGTGCTCTACCACTGAGCCACAACCCCACCCCTCTCCTGCTACTTTCTTACCTGAAGAGTCAAAGCAGGACTGTAGGCTCTTCCTTATATCATGATGGTCCTCTGTGCATCAGATTTTCTAGTCTAGGCATTCCCAACCTCTGACCAGGAATCTCCTTCCTTAAATGGTACACAGTTCCCCTATTACATGACCATGAAATCAGAAATTGGATTCTGAACAGCTGTTTCTATTGCTTATAATATAAAGTTTCTTACTATTAATTTCTTTTTAGAAATCCTGATTTTTCTTTCCATTAGATATTTTGGAAACATTAAGGCTAATTTGAGAATTCTGGAGGTACCAGACTTTAGTCTTGTCCTAGTACTCTACAGGCAGGTCCCAGTTGGTGAACAGCTGTAGGCTACTATTTGGACCTCCTTGATTAGGATTCTTTCATACCTATTTTAAGGTACTTAACCAAAATCCAAAGACCTAACAAGTTAGAAAATTTTTAAATTCTTTTAACCGTATTATAAGCAAAGCATTCAGGAGACAATTTTTCTCTTTCTGCATGTCAAAATGTGATGGTTAAGGGTCTAAAACTGTGAAGACCATAAAATCTAAAATAAATAAATAATTGCATAGCTTTCATCAGCACACCTGAGATTATAAGCATAATCTGTTCTCTTATGCTTTTGATGATCACAGTCTTCATAACAAGTGTTTTTTTTTTTTGGGAAAAGGAAAATTAGAAAGAACTATTTACTTTTTGCTTAGCTAGGATTACCATGCATCCTGGTTTGACCAGAACAGTCTCTAATTGGTGTAACTATTTGTAACACTTACACTTTTAGAAGTACCTTGTTTAGATGGCCCAGTATAGAAACCAACCAAATTGGTATTTAAGAAAATAAAATTTGGATAATGGAGAAAGAGAGAAACTTTCAATTTCATTTACTTTTATAAGAAGTATATAGATTCTAAGATATTTTGCAAATAGTCAAATCTTTTTAGCATTTTTTAATTTATATATGACTGTGGAATGCATTACAATTCT